ATCTTGTCCCAGTTGCACACACTCTACAGTCATAAGTCATCTTTCATTTCCGTTCAAGTAACAAGAGGTCTGAGTTATAAATCAGGAATAACTATGCTTTTTTGTGATTGCAAGTGTACATTTGCCCCATATTATGGTAGTATAGTGCTATGTAATTCCCAGCCGTACTAACTCTGGTCCTAAACATTTTCAGGGATATTGTAGGAAACTATGCGGACATATTGTTCGCCAATGCCAACGAAGCAAGGGCGTTCTGCGAGCTAACTTCAGAAGAGAGCACGGTGTCAGCTGCGAGATACTTGAGCCATTCTATTCCTCTAGTATCCGTTACCGATGGTATGCACGGTTCCTACATCGGTGTGAAAGGTGAAGCAATATACATCCCTCCACCGGCATGTATACCTGTGGACACCTGCGGAGCTGGTGATGCATACGCATCAGGAATCCTGTACGGTATCCTCCGGGGTGCGTCAGACTTGAAGGGCATCGGCCTGCTGGCTGCACAGGTAGCTGCTGTTGTCGTCGGGCAGCAAGGCACACGCCTGAGGGTTAAGGATGCTGACAGATTGGCTGAATCGTTCGAGTTCCACCTTGACAACTTGGAGTTCTGTTCAGATGCTGGAACGGACCAGGTTCCCAACTTATGATATTTCCTCCCCCTCAAGTCCCAAGTCCTCGACAGGCGGCGGCGATGGGAACTACCGAGGGCCGAAAAGGGCCGTGCCCCCTTCTCTAGAAGATCTCTTAAGCGATTGCTTAGTTTTACCACTCAGACTCAGGTTCTATATAAATGCTAAACCAGCACCTCCTTCGAACAGCAAAATGCTAGAAGGGTTCATCAGATTGATGCCCCTTCAAATTCAAGCCCGGCGCGACAGGTCCTAGGCACATTCACTTGTATATAGCATCTCATTCCTTTAGTCCTAGCTCTTTGTCAGGCCTCTCGGCCTCTGTCACCATCCCATTACTTACATTTTTGCACTGCAAGGATGCTACATACTCCGACTTTTGGCCGAGCACATGGGGTATTTTTATGTCGAAGGAGCATGATATCATACGTTTGGCTGTAATGTATAATGCACAGCCGAAAGACAATTGCCGTCTTGGTCTAGAATGTGAATAAACTTCTTTCGGCAGCTCCTGTTGTCCACTGCCCAGAGGGGATATGCTTATCACCAAAACTGTAATGCGGTCGTCCGACTTTGTTGGATGGGGATTCGATGTGGTTGGGTGGAACGTCGCCTTCAGGAGCGAAAGGTATAATATCTCGAGCTATTAGTCAGAGCTGCACTGCAACCAAGTGCAGTTCAGTGACCCAGATTCTCCTCTTTCTTGGTAGCCTATATATATATATGCTACTTGTTCTGCTAGCTTTGTTTCTAGCTTGTTAATTTTTTTGGATGCTGCGTGGCGTGGAGCACACGTATGCTTGCTTGTTTGCAGTGCCATTGCTTGTTTGCCACCTGACTGTAAAATGTTTCCCTATAGATACGTGTCGACCTGCTGAGCCATTGCCTCGAACAGTTGGCGAGAGCTGTAGACTGTAGAGTATATAGCACCATTTGAGGAGCTCCACCCCATGATAAAGAAACGTTTTACATATCCTTTGTAAAATAATATAAGATCCAGTGATCTATATCCATTTTATCCATTTTCCCGACAAGTATTTTCGGACGGAGGGAGTACCAGCTAGAATTTGTAGCAGAATCAGCAACATTGAAGGCTGACTATCTCTGCGCAAAAATTCAAAGTCTGAAGTAGTGTGATGCATCGTCTTAATGTGGCGAGTTAGTGCGGATCCGGATTAACGTGGCAGAAATTTCATGGGCAGCAGTTTTAATTCTCCTGGGATTCATGATGCGCAAGCAAATACCCGTTACGCTCATGGCCACCCCCAGCGCTTTGCTTGCATAGGCCGTAAATAGCAGCAGCAGCCAGGGGCAGGAGTGACAATTCCTGAAAGGAAAGGAAAACTCCCCACGGAGACAAACGCAGCCCCCTGTCTACTTGACTCGGAATCCAACAGCACGAAACGAACGCACCGCTCGCTTCCGCCTCTCCCCAACCTCCGTACCTTCCCCCCACCACCGCGCCGTCCGGACCCGCCGCCTCGGCTGAAAGACGGCCGGGCCCTCTCGGCGGCGGCGATCGACGATGGTGGTGGCCACGGAGGAAATGGCGGTCTACTGCTTCGACACCCTCGTCGCCCACTACAGCGGCGAGCAGCCGCCGCCGCCCGCCTTCGAGGAGGGCGTCCAGTAAGCCTCCTCCTCCTCCCGGGTCGCGATCGGCCTCTCCCCTCCACGCCGGAAAGGATGGCCTTTTACGGCGGTCGGGCGTGGTTTCCGGTCAATTTCGCCGCGGATTTGGGGGAAGGGCGTGCCTTTTACGGCGGCGAGAGTGGATTTAGGCGTTTATTGGCTTGGATTAATCGAGTGTATCGGCTAATTTCAGATGCAGAGATTATCTTACGTAGAGAAGAGGAAATATTTTAAGAAACACTCCCTCCCTTCACAAATATAAAGATGCTGCAACTTTTTTTTTTTAATCGGATGTATATAGACACGTTTTTAGTGTGTTTGTTCACTCATTTCAGTCCACATGTAGTCCATATTGAAATATTCAAAACATCTTACATTTGTGAATGGAGGGAGTAATATTTTTTGGCCTTAGCTCAAGGGACATAGGATGTTTTTGCATGTTTGGCCTTCCAGCTTTTGGTACTGGTTCCTATCCTGCCATTCGTAAAATGTTGTCAGAGTTCCATCACAATATTGTAGGTTTATTAAGAGTTAATACTGTTTAGCTAATACGGTAGTTTCTGGAAAAACGTGTTAGTGTTATCTGGAAAACATATATGTGCCATGTCTGAGCTCAGTGGGTTAAATCTTGTAACTTCAGCCCACTGTTTGTCACCTGGAAGAAGGCTACCAATGGTTCCGAGCCACGCCTAAGGGGATGCATCGGAACTTTGGAGCCCCGTCAGATTGTAAGCGGCTTCAAGGATTACGCGCTGACCAGGTAACTGTTGTAAGGACATAAGATTTCCATGTGCTTGGTATCAATATTTCCATATGCACTACCAGGCAGTGTTGCACACTATCTATTAGTTGTATCATATGAACTAATAAGATCTCACTTGTAGTGCCCTGAGGGATCGGCGCTTTTCTCCGATACAGTCCAAAGAGCTGCCATATTTGGAATGCACAGTTTCTATATTGACCGAATACGAAACTGCACTCAACCACCTTGATTGGGAGGTTTGCTCCTACATGCTATTAATTGTAATTCCATTGGTGTCTATGGTCTTACAGCCAACATTTGCATCAACGCTATTTTCTTATGAGACTGCAGGTTGGAAAGCATGGTTTAATTATTGAGTTCACCGATCCTGACTATAATGTAAGACGGAGTGGAACTTATTTACCTGAGGTTGCTGCCCATGAAGGTGAGTACTTATCAGCTACATATCCCTCTAAGATCCCTCAGTTCTTAAAACTGCTACACACAGTTACATAATCAGCCCAAAACCCGTTGAAAATTTCTATTGAGTTACAATGCCATTGTGTTGTTGAGAAATTTGGCTCCACATGCCAATGTATTTTGGCTTTGTGTATCTCTATATAGAGTCTGCCATTTATCTAGCAAAATCAACCCTCCAGTCTGTACCCTGTTTAGATATCAAGTACTCATCACAGTTTACTCACTTGCTTGAATGTATAAAGAACCTCAATGCAAGAGAGCCTCAAAGTGCTGGATATGTTAACTAAATGGGATTTCACAATATCACATGTCCATATGGATGAAATAAATAAAATTGAAGAGCACAGGAGAACAAATAAAAGCTTTTAATCAGTACATTCCCATTTTAGTTGCCTCTCTCTCGATATATATAACATAGTCCTGAGATACCTGGCAGGATGGACACAACTAGAGACCATTGACTCGCTCATGAGGAAGGCTGGCTACAATGGCACCATCACTGAGTCTTTGAGGAAGAAAATCCGCGTCACCCGCTACCAGAGTACCCTGTACACAATGCACTATGGTGAATATACTGCATATGTCAAGAAGAACAGAGGTGAAATTAACGGGGCACCCATAGTTAACGGATTCAAACCAGGCCAGTGATTTATCTGTACTGTAGCAGGTAATAACAACTATTTATAATTTGGCTTGGAAGGAATTGGTGTGAGAATTTGTTCAAAAAAAATCAATTCTAGTCATTGATCTGCCATCATGCCATTTCATTCCAAAGAATGTAGAGTGCCATGTCAACGGCCCTCATGTCGTTCTGGGACAAATTAAATGGTGATGGTTATGTATCTGTAAGCCTATGCACTTTGATTACAAATAATTGCATGAAATTAATTGATTTAAGTTGTTCATTCACTGGTTATGATACTGGTAATCTTGTCTTGTTACTTGAGATTTGATCTGGAATGTTAGTCAAAAGCTCAAACATAACAATATTGACAAGAAAAATACAGGATGAACTCACAATCTGATGTTTGTTGTGACCAACTGAAGTGGTACTATGGCAGTGCCCTTCTGTTCCTTTCCACTCTAGACAACTGGAGGCAGGCACCTCACACAAAGAGCAATAACACTGCATGGTGTAGAACAGCAAATTATTTGTACCGGAAAGGAATTTGTTATACTTGGAAGCAACTTTGGATGGGTTGTCAGTGAGGTTACCTTGTGGCAACAGCTCTCGTGTGGAGTCGTATCAAACAGGTAATTCCCACACAAGTGCCTTGGATGCGGGTAATCCCTAAGGGCCACCTAGTTATTTATCATCATGGAGCATATCAGAGATTTTGCCACATTTATATGGATTCAACATCATAGAAGATTTTACAGTTCTTGTCACATAAAATCTGAATCATTTGTACTTAGCAGTACTGTTATTTGTGGAGCTTAATACATCGTTTCTCAGTGCAAGCATGCTCAGATTACTAATACATAGATGTAATATAGCAAGAAGTTTGAAAGCCAGTTCAGAGAGCCTCTTTCGCTACTACGACAACGTAGTCACCGTCTTCATCAAAATCTCTTCCCTCAGGGTTGAGTCTATCCATCTCTGGGAGATGGTCATACCCATCTTCTTCTCCAACACGCTCATCGGCACCATGATCATCATGCTTTATTGGCGACATGACAGGAACAGTAACATCCTCAAAGTATTTAGATTCAGACTTCAGCAGTGGCTTGTCAGGGATGGTTTTCTCCTTGAAGAGTTCATCAGTGCCACTGTTGCGCGTTATTGGCGACAAGTCAGGAATGACGTCCTCCTCAAAGCATCCAGACCCGCATTTCAGCGGCGACATGTCAGGGATGATTTCCTCCTTGATGGGTTCACCCACAGCACCGGCGCCGCCTTCAGTCTCACACTTCTTTGCCGGCGACATGCCAGGATTGACGACTTCCTCGAAGCATTCAGAGTCACACTTCAGCAGCGATATCTCAGGCATGACTTCCTCCTCAGAGAGTTCATGCTCATCAGCACCACTGGTGCCATCTTCAGGTTCACACTTCACCGGCGACATGTCAGGAACGATGTTGGGCAACGGCACGTCGGGGATGGCTTCAGCAGAGACATCATCTGCGCCGTTGCCATCTTCAAGTTCGCTCTTCCCCGGGCACATGTCAGCGAAGAGCCCCCCAAAGGGCAATTCGGAATCGGACATCACCAGCAGTGGCTCGCCAGGGATGCTTTTGACATCAGGCTTGGCCTCAAGAGGCCCCATCTGATGGATAGTTGGTTCATCTTCTTCAATCTTCAAAGGGTTATCCAAGCGATCACCAGCGATGCGTCCATGCAGGCCGCCATTACTGTTGGCGCGTCCATCCAAAGTTTCTGCGGAATGCTCCGACCAATCTAATTCCACCTTGACTTTGATCTACAGGCCATGACAGGAAAAATAGAAGATGTTCCCGTGGTTCATGAACTTCACATCACGGTGAATATGGTTAAGAAAACAAACAATTTCCCTGGTGCCTTCCGATTCATATGCAGCTACCGAGTTAACATAACAATTTACTGATCTGAACTCCAACAGAAAATTAACCGGCGAGACATGTACGAGAGCGGTAGAAGATAATGGGAGGAGGAGAGAGTGAGAAAGAACCTACCGGGCCTTTGGCCGCAACGACGACCACGTCGTCGTCATCTGATGCTTTGCGATTCACCTTCTTGGCGAACTCGGCGGGGTCTATCTCGCAGCAGTCGTCGTCCTCCTCGGCGTCGAGCCGCCCCAGTCCGATCTCCAGTATCTTCACCATATCCGCCCTTTGCTGTTTGAGCTTCTCCTTGCTCTGCTCGGTTGAATGGGTGATTACCATACAGGAAAGGTGGAGCCGTTTATATACAGCGGATAGCAATGCCTGATTTATGAGCGCATTGAGAACAGGTTGCGGAAGCCCAAATGGCGCACCGGTGACCGAGGAGCCTCGTGTGGGAATCGAAGGGACTCTGCACCAAGTCATCAATATACCACTCACTAGGCTCTTCCCCATGGAGTGCGAAGTTATGGTGCACGTGTTTAGGGCATCTCCAACAGTCGTAAGGCTGGTCATAGTGGGGAGTAACTTAGACTAGTAACATACATATGTTACTAGTCTATGTTACTATCTTCATAGTGGGTAGTGTCATAGGTGTGGTAACATAGTTGCCTTCATTTATTACTTTATAGACTCATTATGCATTGGAAACCGCTATGTGATGGTAACATATTATGTTACTCTATTTGCCTCTCTCCTCATTAACTACTTGCCACATCATCATTTTTGCTTATGTGGCATCTATGTTACTATCTATGTTACTCCCACTATGACCAGCCTAAGATAGGTGTTGGTTAATTTGTCATCTAGGACACAGTGATGATGTGGCATGTAATGAATATGGAGAGAGAGCAAAGTTGTATGTAGATTAACCAACAACCTTTGCACAAGCTCCAAGGTAAAATAGAGAGCAATCATATTTATTTTCTCACCATCTATTGGATAGCTTACATACAACCCATTGGAGTAGTTGTATGATAGCTTGTTGGTTGATGACATGGACATTTTACCAACAAGACTAACATACAACCTGTTGAAGATGTCCTTAGAAATTTTAAAAAAGCGAATCAACATGTGGTTGAGTTGGTTAGGTGGATAGTGGTATCCCCAACCCATCAGGGTTCAAATCCGGGTGCTCGCATTATTCCTAGAGTTATTTCAGGATTTCCGGCAATGCGCTTTCAGTGGGAGGAGACGTTCCCGTCGATGACGAGGCGCCTACGGTGACTTCGTAAATCTCAAGATAATATGCCGGAGAACCCCAGCCACCAGTCTACGCCGCTCCGACGTGCTGCTCCATCGCCCTCCCGAGTGCCTGCTCCTGCCAAGGATGCTACCATGGTTTGTAAAGGTGCCGCTGCAGTCTGTCCTCGCGGAGCAGGCTGAGCTGCAAGACTGCCTGATGAGAGTTGAGAGTTTTTTGGCCAGGACTGAGGCGGTTCTTTGCAAGCTCACAATCATGCCAGATGTGTCGTTGGCCGAGCTCCAGGTTGATTCCACGGGCGAGGGTGAAGCAGACCCCTATGCTTGGTTCTCTCATGGTAGGCACACCGCCGAGGTCGTCACTCCAGTGATGCCGATTATGCCTGGGCTGCAGGAGTTATGTGAGGCACCATCTTTGACTTTGTCGATGGTGCTTCTAAAGGAGATGGGCTTGGCGATGCCCATGATGCCGTCACCGCTGATGTTGGCGGCAAGCCCACCATTCGTCGTTGTGGACAGTGAGGGACGTGATTCGCCTCTGTCATGTGAGCAACTGGAGACGCCTGAATCCACCGTGTATGTGGTACCTGTGGCTGATGGTGTTGAGGTGGTCGGTATGTTGGCGCTTGATCCTTTGGAACCCAGCCAATCGCTTGACTTTGTGGATCGTGGAGGTTCTGATGTTTCGGTCACCCAGTCGCACGTGACCGTTGGGCAGGTTTTTGTGCGTGACAAGGTCGATGAGATTCTTTTCGAGTTAGAGATTTACAGCTTGCTCGCATGTTTGGAGAGGGCTAGCCTTGGATCTGGCAAGAAGATCGTGGAGGAGGCTCTCAGGAGCAAGAGCAAGAAGAGTAGCGCCACAAAAAAGGCGTCCGCAGCTGCTTATGGAGGGTCACCAGTCTCTTGGGTTGTCCTTATGGCTTGTCTTGTCTTCGTGGATTTGGTGGTGCATGTGGTCTTCGGCCGAGTTACTCTCGTTGGGGGTTTCTTTGCGATGTAGCAGCGTGGGGGTGGTGATCGTTATGTGTCGGGTATGATTGTCGGGCCGATCATGCGCTTATTGGTTGCATTCTTTGTGAGTAGTCAACATATGATTTGTTTGCATCGGTTTTCGTCCGGTTTTTCATTCATTAACTGGGCAATTCTCCTCTGCTTAATGAATTTATGAGGCAAATATTTTGACTTTCTTTAAAAAAGACTACTTGCATGCGATAACGGGGTTCACTGAGAAGTGAGTTGGTATTGTCATGATCTTGCTAAGGATAGCCACGTTCTCAGCTTTATTTAATGGAAAGAAATTGCAGGAGTTGAAGCCATCCCGCGGGATCCGTCAGGGAGACCCAATCTCCCCATACTTCTTCCTGATAGCAATAGAGGGTATTCGACATGAACTAGTGTAGGTGGCATCACGTGCATAGGAACAATGATGTGAGTGGCCACACCCACCGGCGAGACAAACAACTGCTTGATGATTGTAGATACTGCATTGATGACTACGTCTGACACCCTTGCTTGGTGGTCCTCCGAGTTGCCCTTGAGCTACAAGTCCGTCGACGACATCACCCCCTCAAAGTTTAGGGAATGACTCACCAGGCCCAAAGGTTCTGACGACATGCCGAAACTTCTCTCCTTATAAAGAGGCAACACCATGTCATCAGAGGGGGAGGCAGTTGCATGTTTCTCCTTTGGCAAATTGGGAAACTTCTTTCGAAATGCCCCACCATACTGCAACATTTTTTTGAAGCTTTTCATATTTTACGGAGTATCTCATACCAGTGGTCACTTCCAACAGGATTGTGGTTGACATGTGGATTGAGTGGTCAATACATATGCATGTCAAGGTGCTTTGTGACACACGCGCACGCATGCATGCACGCACACGCATGGACACACGCACACACACAAGGTATTTTTGCAATGATAATCTTGTTTTTCTGGGCGACAGCGACAATGGTGCCGAACTACCTTCCCAAAGTCCATCCCCATGTCTTCGAACATGAGATTGCATGGCATCCCTTAGATTTGCGCCCAAATGCGAATGAAGTAGATGCGCACGTGATGTCTTGTGAGTTCACAGGGTTGAGTTGTAGCCTTTTAGAAGTAAGAGTATTGATCTCACATAGAGTTAGGAAATGAATTGCAGGAGTGTGTATCGCGAGAGTTGAAGTGAGCAAGAATGGAAGTAGAGAGAACAAGAGAGTAATGAAGGCATTCTCAATCGCACAACCATGGGTTCAAATAACTAATCCACTTTATGTATTTTTATGTGTGGGCAGAACCAGTACAACTAAGCGCATATTACCGCAAACTCTGTATCACACACACCATCACTATTCCTCCCCTACCGGATAGAGGCAACAATAACTAAGGGTCTCCTTGTCGACACGGCTAAGGAGATCTTCATTACTCCCAGATCCAGGTTCTGCAAGGGAGGGAGGTAGCTTATGTTGTTTGAAAAATCCCTAGGGGTAATAATAAAGTTTTTATTATTCTATTTCCACATTCATAATTGTTTATATTTCTATGTTAGAATTCCATTGATTCTTGAATGTGAGATTAGGAGGAAAACCTAATTGCATGTATAGAAAGGAAACACCAAAAGATCCCTAGTCAGGCCTTTAGACTAGCTCATGTATTGTTGATGGTTCACCTTTCCTAACCATGGGCATAGTTCACGTAACAGAGATGATGACAATAATGAGAACACTCGTGTTAGAGTAACAATGGTGTTGGAATAAGCCAACATATGAAATATAGTGAGGTCACGTCGTCAATATGTTGTTGGTATTTGAAAGTGCGTTAAGTCGACTAGAGGAGGGTGAATAGACGATTTTTACAAATTCGTCACTAAGGAATTTCAGGGTGAGGAAATTCCTAAGTCACGAACAACTAGCAGCGGAATAAGTACTCAGGTATAAGCATAACAAAGCAATAGCATAGTCATCATGATGAAATGAAAGACAGACACATAGTACAGAAAGCGTAAACATAGGATAAGCAGGTTGAAGACAATGTGACTGAAGAAATAGGATTGAGGAAATAGAGAAAGTCTTCAGTCAAAGTCTTCAAACAGTAATGATCAGGTTCATCAACACATGAATGAGGAAATGAAAGGGTTGAGGAAATAGAACTAGTAGGCTTGGTGAAGAAAAAGATTTGGTAGACAAGTTCCAACTACTTTGACAGTTGTACGCCTAGTTGGAGCGGCTGAGTATTTAAACTCGAGGACACACATGCCTCACCGTATTCTCCTTGAGCTAAGATCACACAGACCTCGCCCAACACTCGTGGTAAGTCTTCATAGGTGACTTCCAAACCTTCACAGACTCGGTCACTCGGCAATCCACAATTCCTCTTGGATGCTCAGACCATGACGCCTAACCATCTGGAGGATACACAATCCTCAAAGGTAACAAGCGTCGGTTCCACACAGGAACAATCTCTTCAGTGATGCTCAATCACTTTGGGTTTGTAGGTGTTTGGGTTTGGGATTCGGGTTTTCCTCACTTGATGATTTTCGCTCAATGTTCTCGGAGGATGGGATGCTCTCAATTGACAAGTGTCAGTTTCTCTCGGAGCAGCCAACCAACTAGTGGTTGTAGGGGGCGGCTATTTATAGCATAGGGAGCAGCCCGACATGATAATACATAAATGCCCTTCAATGATATGACCGTTAGGTGATAGGATATTTTGGACAGCTACGCGTAGCACAACAACGGTCAGATTTGAGGTTCAAATTCCTCAGGGCTATCATGTTCCTCACTGTGTAGGCAATCCGCACTGGCGAATTCCTAACTCCTCAGTCAGAACAAATTCCTCAGAGACCAGAAGAACTTCGTCTCTGTCACTGAAGAAATTGACTAAACTGATATGAGATTTCCAATGCTTCACTCGAAAGGATTGGGTAGGTGTAGGATTTTGAGATGAGCATCACTTGGAAATCAGTTTCCTTAGTATTACCTCGACCCCCTTTAACAGCATGGTGTTTCCTATGACTCAAGAAAGAGAAAATGAAA